AATGCTCAACAAATTCAGCGGGACAGTTATTGCACTCGCGCTGTTGGATTCGCTGGAACCCCGTTCCCAGTGCAAACTGGTGCTAACCTAATGGTGAAATTCTGGCTGTTCGGATTGGGAGGGACATTTTGCAATTCCGCTACTTCCCATAATCGCGTTCATAGTTTTACAAGAGTTGACGTGTTCTCAAGGGTGGACAGGTGGTCTCAACAAAATTTGACTCTTATCACTTCATGGCTTCACATGATTTCACAGGTCTCTGCTTGATGGCTCGACAGGACGATGGGGAGCAACGAGAATGCAGGTGCCCCCCCCAAGCTGAACTGCGCTTTTACAGCGGTTCTTAGTTTCTCAGGTAAGAATTCACGTAAGCTACCGATTACTTTGGAAAAGACTTCAAGAATTTTGAGTGATTACTAAGAAGTTTACCTTATTGGTGGCGTACCAAAAGCTGTACAGTCGTATTTCCTCTTCATACGGAGAGACGGCGGATGAATCACATCTTTGAAAAGTTAAGATTTATCCTAGGTGAACTGTCACGAGTAAGCAAAGAGAGAAATTTCAACTTCTAAATACTAACCTTCACTTTCAAAATCCCAGTCTTTATCCAGGAAATAGTCCTTATCGGTTGGAGAAGTTGACTGAAACTATGTAAATTCCACTGAATTGATTAGTTGTAAGGGACTTGAAAGCAAATCCTTGGTCGTACGGGCAGGGTCAGGCCAACCATCGTGTCTGCTAACTTATGCACAGGGCACGTTCAGCGTAGGGGCAAAAATTTGCAAAATACCACCTCTCTCAAAATTTACTTCCATAGTACTACTCTCTGCCCCATCCCCCTCGTATCGTACATGCTATCCTCTTTGATTGCTCCATGTCCTATTAGGTTGTTCCCGGAAAGTTCTCAGCGTTTTGGGTGTTTCACTTCTAACGATCGTAACTTTTTACTCATCGGATTTAATCGAAATAGTCACCATTCGAATCAGCACACTTTGGCTCAATAGTGCCATGCGTCGAGAAATTCCGCATAAAAGTAAAAAACTGGGTGGTCGAAAATTCACGAAATCCACTAAGGCTTTTTGCCTGGTCCTGATTGATGAAGTATTTTCCAGCAAGGGAGTTCTGAAAATGTTAGAAAAGGTGATAGTCGATTGGCGAAAGGTCTGAAGAATATGGCGGTTGAGGTAGAACTTCAACCCCCAATTCGTTCAATTTATGGATAGTGATTTGTGAAACGTGTGGGCGGGCGTTGTCATGCAAAGGAATCGGACCCTTTCTTTTGATAAGTGTTGGCTGCATCTGACAAAATTTTCGGTACAATTCGTCGATTTCTTCACAGTAGGGTTCTGCTGTGATGGTTTGGCCTGGTGATAAAAAGTTATAGTGGATCACACCAGCCGATGACCACCACCGTGACCAGAATCTTTTTTCGTGAGGGTTCGGCTTTAAAAAATTACCTCGGTGGTTCGTCAAAATCCAACCACTGTCCGGAACGTCTCCTGTTATCATAAGCATGACGCGTCCATTTTTCAATGACACAGGTGACAATTCGGCCGGCAAGAACATGGTTCGTTTCTGCTCTGCTGCGCAAAAGCAATGCAGAAGGAACCTCGAGACGTGCCGATTCCTGCCGGTCACTCCGATTGTGGGGGCACCAATTGTCGAGTTTTTTCACCTTCCCAATGCGTTCCAGACCATCTGCAACAGTGGATTTGCCAAGGCCTAGCTCTTCTGCTATCTCTCGAACTGTTTGGGATGGGTCAGCCTCCGAAATCCCCTAAAATCCTCGTCAGATATTGCTTTAGGTCGACCGCTATGAGGTTCACCTTCAAGGCTGAAATCTCCAGAATGAAATTTGTTGAGCCATTGCCGCACAGTGCTTTCACTAACACTACTGGGCCCCCACACCTGGTTAATTTGTTGAGCTGTTTCGATTGCGGATTGCCCCAATTTATAGTCGAAGAAAAAAATCGTCCGAAGTGCTCTTTTCACATGCTTGAAAAAATCTTGAAAAAGGGGGTTTATCAAGCAATGGTGAAACGGCAATTATACCATCAGATAGCGCAAGAAATTCTCTACAGGATGTGCTACTGAGAAGCAAGGCAGAATGAGTTTTTAATCAGCAGTGAATGTACAAAGATTAGGTGCACAAAACGCTGAGAACTTTCCGGACAACCTAATTACATGCTATCCATCTTTGACTGCTCCAGGTCACTGCCACTTTTCCGAGGTCTTATTCTACGCATGCAACGAAAAAAGACTGCAGTCAAGAAGGCGGAGGGTTGGCGCACGACGTGCCTTGCAGGTGCGTCCTTCTGAGATGACAAGTAGTGGGCGGACTAAAGAATCTGAAAAGCAGATAGTCGGGCCTGACTCCGCCCACACCGTCAGCGTGTACCGTGCCCGTCAACACTATTGGAGATTAGCCCATCTAGAATTTGGATCAGTTATTAGATCATTCACCTTTTCGACAGCCCTGAATACAGCTCGCTTTCCTCGTGCTGATCCAATTCGTCGAAGTAGTTCTGCTGCTGTAGGGCGATCGCTTGCTTCATGGCTCACTAGAGATTTGATCTCGTCCCGAAGAGCGGCTGCCACGCCTTCAAAAGTTATGTAGTCCATCTTTGAAAATACATATAAAAATAAAGCAAGCTAAACAACAAGAAAATAAAAGCGAAGCTGAAAAAGGTTCACCTTTGAACTGGGACCGAAGGATCTTTCCGGTTTGTATCACCTGCTTTTTTTCTTCCACATCAATATCTGTTGATAGCTGAAACTCTGCTTTTTGACTATGTTTTGAATTTCAATTTTTCATTTTAATTTCAATTTTCTCAGTTTCAGTTTTGATTACTTCATGACTTATTCCGTTCTAATTACTGAAGATGGAGTTAATTTCTTTCATTTTTGATTTTTGGTGGAATCTCGCAGCATGACGAGATGCACGAACACTTCTTTTAGTTTTTTACATGTTGGCAGCTCCTGCACTAAAGAGACGGAAGTTCCTTGCTGGGCGACCATGGATCGACCCAACGCGACGCAACCGCCGACCATGGATCGACCCGACGCGACGCCGAAAATCGACCCACGCGACCGCAACGGCCGTGGCCACTGCCAGCCGGTCTCTTACTAGGGAGGTCGTTCAGGACGTGGAGCGCTTTTTGAAAACGGTTTTTTGCATGATGTGGGGTTCACGTGCATGGAGTACCAAACTGGTGTTCATTTTTCCTGAACGCCTCTGGGAATGCCAAAAATGGAGTGAAAAAAAAGTCCATGGAAACCGACTGTTATTGAGCCTGAATGGGCTCTAAATCACTCGCAAGTTCGGCCAGTTGCTGCCTATAGGGTCCTTATAAAGGTTGTACTGGTATCTATGAGAAAAGTGGTCGTCAATGGGGTCTTACTTGTGGCACGTAGTTAAGAGTCGACGGCCAATTCGATGGGCTCTTAAGCAATCGAAGTGCGTTACCTCTTGCAAGGATCCGATTGGCTCTAGTGGATAGCGTTGCCGGGATTCTCAAGCGAAGGTGGGGGGATGGGGAGATGATGTTCGACTCCCTCGGTTGCCGATTATTGCATTCTTATTTCGTTGGTTGTCGATTCTTAATTATAACGTCTGTTTAATGGAATTATTACTCGAAGATAATCCATCCATTATTAGGCACATCCTAAATAGTTATAAGGCACATCCTAAATAGTTATAGCCCGTAGTCGGTGCTATTCAGCGATTTCGATTTCACAAACCATTAAGCAAGAACTTGTCTGAAAGCTGAGCTTATGTTATTCGATGCCCTGATCATGACTATGGCATTTACTTTCAGCTCTAGTGCCATTTATCTCAAATCTAAGGAGCCAAGTCTCTCTCCACCTTGGATAGTCGCTATGTACATTCGTTTGAGGGACTTGCAGGGCCATTCTGACGCCAGATTGGATTGACGTCAAGAATAAGTGTCAGAATCGTGATCAGGACCATCGATTACCCCTATAGGCAAACTTTCAGCCAAAAAATTTTTTTGACTTTTTTGAGTCTGTGCATTGGGTTATGCTCAAGAGTCACTTTGTTTGAAGTCGTACTTTTGCTGGTTATCGAAACCCTCATTCAGCCCAGCGTTACGCGAAACAAAACAGCCAACCAACCACTAAACGGCCATTCGAAAAAAAAGAACAAAATCAGTCGTCATTCCATCCAGAGTGCATATTGAGGGAGCAAATCGGATGAGTCTCTCCTCTTGGCTAGAGAAGACCGACCACTCTTGTGTTGAGCGAGCCGTACGGGGGCCGTCGACATGCTCCAGGATGGTTTATCACTCTGTGTCTGCGGCCACCCATCGCAAGTCCATGAATGGACCTTATAAGCACCTAAATCGCAGTATGCAGGCTGCACGGCCGCACGTCATCGCTACGCGTTATCGCAGCGCCAAAGTTTGTGGTGGCTGCGCTCCTCGGTCATTGACGACCAAATGGTCGGTCTATCACAACTCAAAAAAAGTCAAAAAAATTTTTTTGGCCGAAAGTTTGCCTATAGGGGTAATCGATGGTCCTGATCACGATTCTGACACTTATTCTTGACATCAACCCAATCTGGCGTCAGAATGGCCCTGCAAGTCCCTCAAACGAATGTACATAGCGACTCCAGTGGGAGAAAGACTTGGCTCCAAATTGGGGACTACGTGCCACAAGTAGGACCCCATTGGCGACTACTTTTCTCATCGATACCAGTACCTTTATAAGGACCCTATAGGCAGCAACTGGCCGAAGTTGCGAGTGATTTAGAGCCCATTCAGGCTCAAAAACAGTCGGTTTCCATGGACTTCTTTTTCACTCCATTTTTGGCATTCCCAGAGGCGTTCAGGAAAAATGAACACCAGTTTGGTACTCCATGCACGTAACCCCACATCATGCAAAAAACCGTTTTCAAAAAGCGCTCCACGTCCTGAACGACCTCCCTAGCTTAGTCCACTTTTATGATTCTCTCATCTCCGAATTCTCTCACCTCTAACATCGTAATCCCTAGGCTGTACATATCGGCAGCAGTTGTCGGTGGTTCATTCAGGAGTTCTGGTGCATGTAATTTTTGTCCCCATCGTCGCGGCCCCAGTCAGCTGGATTTCTGAATATTCGGGTAATTGTGACTGATCTCAGCTTAATACAATAATCATAATTGGAATCATAATCTTCTGTGTCCTATGCTATTGAATCTTTCCGCAGTTCGGTTTGGTGGGTGTGGGTTGCAGGGGCCGAGTGCTACCTAACAGGGCACAGCATCGCCTTGCTGTGACAACACAAGGGGGGGGGTAGCGTATTTTGTTGAGGAGGCGAGGTTCGTATTTGTTGGAGACAAGGTTTTATTTTGGATAGTTGAGTATTACCCCCCCCGTCTCGACAACTTTTTCCGCGACCCGACTATAACTTCATTATATACGTCGCATGGCTCGGCGGACTGGCGAAGGCTCGCAAGGCGGTGGGGGTCGTACCCCACGCGAAAAAATAGGGGGGGGGTCGTGGCCTGTACCCCATCAGGAGGGGGGGGTCGTACTCTCACCGACATTTCGCCTATCCCCATGCTGTACCCTGCTACTCAATTAAAGCTTGGACAAGCATCTAAAACTTATTGCCGATCAGGGCGGCGCCCACTCGAACGCCTTTATATACCTTTCCCAGGAGCTTCACAGGTCTGACCCCAATTGAGAACATAGATTAGTTAAGGCACAGCCACAGACAAGAATCAGGATATTAGAAAGATTTGAAAATATGGCGTCCACGGAATGGTTAGATGTCGTCTGCGACAAACCGGTGTACCGGTTTCGCGGCAAAAAATTCCTATGGGAGGGGCGCTGTAGCGCAATATAGGTTCAGTGGCTCCTCCTTTTTTCCAGTGACTCCGCCTCCAGACTCCGCCCCTAATGACCGACTTCCAGTGAAAAATGAGATTGCAGGACGAAAAAGCATGATAATCGCCACTTGTACGATCGTAGAAATCTTATCGGTGAATCAGCCGTGCATATGAGGGCGTAGTTTTGGAGATAGAGTTGATTGGGCACGTACAAACTGGATAACGAAATGGGGTCTACTATCTAGGGACTTGCGGAGGTGGCGTTTTTTGTGCTTTTTTTGTTCACAGTCGAGTTACTCAACCCCTTGTCGTATATATGGAACCCCTAATCCACCATCTGAGATAGCGAGTAATCGCGGGTTCTTCCTTTAACCAGCTAAGGAAGATCGGCAAGTGCACAAATGCCCCCTCCAAAAAGAACGGCGTCTAAATTTTTTTTCACATCACTCATTCCCTTTATGATTGTCTTACCTTCTCCAAATTGATCGCCAACCCAAAATCTCCCAGTTTGCACGACCGGTTATCTAATGAAAGGTAGATGTTCGACGGTTTCACATCCAAATGCAACATGTCCATTGAATGGAGCCGTTCTAATGCCTGTAAGCACAATTCTCATAAATCCTTTCATACGGTAGCCAAGGGAACTTGGCAGTACCTTGAGCATGTCTGTGAATACGGTCCATTGTTCATTCTCATAGAGCGGTCCATACTGAGCTCTGTAGTCCTGCAGATTTGGTCCACATAGTTCAGTTTGAATGTAAAATCTTCCTCTGAACGTGTTTCCGTTATTACTGGTTACTATTATTTGTTGCTTACTTTGGATTGAAATGTTTGCAAAGAGCGGAACAAACCGATGGAAGCTTAAAGTCAGTTAGTCCCTTTAAAGTGCGCCATGCTTTCGACTTCACCAGAGGGATGTTTGTGGCCTTCCCCCTAAGGGACTAAGTGGCACGATAAATCGTCAGGACGTACGGCAACAGTCGATAACTGCTACACGAAAGAATATTGGCCCTTAGCAGGCGCTGCAGTGGTTGGCAAATGCCTCACCCAGATGCCATTGCCCGCCCCACACATGCCACAGGCCAGTCGGCCGCTGGTACTCTTATCGCCTTCATTTATGGAAAACAATTTGATTATGAAGCGTTGCTATGATGGATGTTGTATGAAGATTCGCGTGGAGCCCGTTACCTGATTGAGGGCCACGCATGCGCAAACGGGAACATTCGTCCGAAAGTAGCTCGCTTCGGATGCCGTGCCAGAACAAGGCTTTTTGCTGTTTTTTAGCCATTTAGCCTTCACTTTTTTCGTCGTTTTCTCTCTATATGTACCCGTTGCCACCGTTTTCTGGGTTAATACCGAATTAGCGTCCCTTATTTTTAAAAACACAACAAGGAACACAACAGGGGTGTTTGCCTCCGTTTCAAGCGCACTATCAATCCCCTCTCCTCATTACTGCGTGCTTAGACATCCAGTGAAGATAACCTCTTATCTATTCTTATCAATTGGTAGCATGACTTGTCGCTCGCCACCAATGTCCCCATCACTGAACCTTTATGATTTGGCAGAATGAAAACTGTACAGCCCTGGAGAACAACGACGGCGACAACGACCTCTTTCATCCCCTATCAGTTGTTATTCCTTTCTGTCGCCCATAATTGATATTCCCTTCACAACCCCTATACCACCTGCTAAAATCAACTCTCTACTGTTGCTATGACGCACATTATAAATGAGGTGACGCTTGAGCTGCTAACTCCGCTTATCAGCTCCTATCAGTAACTACCCCTTTCCTTGAAACGATGATGTTACTTTTCCATACCCTATATCATCTTCAAACCAAGGTTTCGCCATTGCTGGGACCATAAACTTAGTGACACTCTCCTTCTGGCTTTCCTGTCACCTACCAGTAGTGTTCCTGTCACAGCCTCTATGTCATTCCTTGCAACCAACTTCTCGGACTACTGGGACGGACGCTATGAATTTCGTGACACACACAAACGTACTTAGCACATTATATACGGAAGGATGTTCCCTGAAGCCACCCAATTAGCTGTTTCTAGCGGGTAATGCGGACTTAATACCATCTCGCCTTGCTTTCGAAGGCAAGGTCCGATTAACTTACGATCGAAAGCACATCCTTAGACCAGGTGGCGCGGTCCGCACCACAGAGGATTTCCGCGGCCTGATATCGCTTGGTAATGGCGCCACGACTCTGCAGCTATACAACGAGCATTCTCCGCCCTCTTGATGAGCCATAGTGCAGAAGCCTCTCTCTGGCCCGTACTCCTCCTATTTTCCTTAGTTCTATATAGCTCTGGATCTCGATCATTTGTGTACTCTCTTTTTACATCTTTGTCTTTTCTCTTTTCCATGCTCACTGCCTCCTCACCGTAAGCCCATCTAACGCTAAGAATCGACGGGGACCTTATTTGATGGATTTCTGAGGGTCATTTCACTTTATCGTCCGTTGAGCTATTTACTAAGCATCTGACATTTGTATTGCAACTCTATGGTCCAGGTGGTAGCCGCAGACTGTGCCTTTGAGAAAAAGAAATCAATTGGCCATCAATTGTTAAAATAGCCGACAGCTCATAGGCTTAAGAACACCGACCGGGAATAAAAGGTGGGCGAAGCCAGAAAGATGACGGCATTGGCGCGCTTCTCCTCCTCCCGCATCTTTAACCACACAAAATGCGAGAAGAAGATAGGCGTGGCAGCGAATATCAATTTGGCGTTTATAGCCTTGATGGGGCATTTTGCAGATTTCTGCCGGTCACTGCCGGTGTCTCTGTGGATGTGGTGCCTCCTGGAGCTAGCAGAAGTGCAAAATGCCCACCTTCTCCCTAGCCATAGAGCACCGCAACTGTCGCTAGTGCGAGAGTTTCTGGACCCGGGAATGCCGAACCGTGTTTGAAGCTATTTTCAAGAGGAGAAGGAATTGGGAGCTAGTCGATCTCTTTAGATTAAAGGCAGTTGGCACGATAAATCCCCAAAGACGAGTAGGGCTAATATGCCTGGCAGGACGGAATTCGCGCCCCTGAGCAGGCGCTGCATAGCGCCCTTTCCGAGGGTATCCTTATAGCTGGCCCTATCAAGCTTTCTAGCCAGACCGCCCGCCCGCCATAAATGGACGACCTTTCCATAACGCCTCGTATTCATTGATTTGCTAAGCAAATTATGAAGTGAGGGGATTGTTATGAAGCGGCAGCGGGGCTGCATGGATATATGAGTACACACATGCACCTATATCCTCGGTAGCGGTTATTGGCAAGATGTGTACGCGAAACTCGTCCGAAATTGATTTTTTGAGACATTGAAAATTAAGGCTGTTTCTTCGCCAGATTTTGACCGTTTCACTCCGTTCATTCGCCATTTTCCCACTATATAGGCCTTGCTGGCATTCTAGGTACCAAAATTATCGTATCTGCCTTTAAGGCAAACATTGGCCGCCATGTATAGAATGCAGTACTTTTTTGATTGGGTTTACCGTTTTTCATGGGTGGATTACTCGGTGTCAGTCCGCTTTCTTCCGCTCCTTTCTTGCACAAAAGCAAGGACGCACCACTGAAGAAGGCACAGTGGCAGACCTGGTACTGCTCGTATGAGCCCTGTGTAGCGCGTATTTGACCCGTTCACTAATGTGCATCCAAAACAGTATCTAGTGCACTAGCTACCGAAGAATGTAGCGTTCGTTAGCCTTGAGCCATACTCGAGCATGTGCGCGCAGTGGTACAGTCTTGCTCGGCGGATGAAGGAGTGCTGCCAGTGAAAGTGTTTGCCGCGCTGCCAGCCCGTTCTTCACCAACCGTCGAAGCGGGTAAGCTATCACAACTGGTGGAAACACCCCGACCCCGTATCCCTCACCACTGCACTACGATTATGGTCGCTGAGGTAACGCTGAGGCGTGCACCACTGGTTTCAATAATCGCGCCTTCTTTTACCTATTCCCGGCCATAAATATCAAATGAACCACATGACCTTTTCTGCACCACCTCGCTCGCTAATTGAATTTCCTGAGCCGTCAGTCGTGGCTAGCAAGTAATTAAAACCCTGTGCATCAGGAAGGTCATTCCTCGTTATACAGCTCTTGCATGCTGCCCTTTATGATTGTACTACAGCATACTTTGTCGCCTTTGCACTCCACATAGGGCTAGCTTTAGCCCACTTGCTTACCTATAACCTACCTACTTTTTCTGGTGCAAGATTTCAACCAGTTTGTAATGGAAGAGTTTACCTATCTTTTTGTGACTCTGGAATTACGCCTTAAAACGAAGTTATATCACGCAAAGTTGCTAGTCTCATTGAAAAAAGGCGGCTGAGACGATATACTAGCAAAAACTGCTTGAAAGCCTACTTGGCACTGATGGCATAGAGATATCGCTGATGCCAGCGAGTCCTTTAAGATCCCAGGGGTTTATAGATATATGAGATAAAAGCGCTACTTAAAGCAGCTATTGGCTCCAGCAGATCACGTGCACCCTTCGAACACGTCCACCCCTTTGAGCGTCAGTTCCACTCTCCCCATCCTGCAAAGGGACCCAGTAACACCGATGGCTTCACATCTCCAATCTCCTAACCCATCTTCGAAATGTCTTCAACTTCTCCCTTTGGCACTATTTCACCTTTAGTGCCCCAGTCCTTCGAAGTTTAGTTCATCTTTCGGTCGAAACTTCCCTCAGCAAGGTAGATTTGGGCAGAACTTAGTGCCCGAGGGTATTCTGACCTCTACCCATAATAGCGCATGGCGCACTCGTTATCGGCGCCGTCATCACAGGTAATTTTTTGGCGCCAGCACTATTTAGCCCACATAGTTGAAATCGTCGTTAATAATCGGGGCGGAATGAGTCCGCCTCCGGCTGCATTTCCTGACCAATAGTGATCGGTTCGTGATGGACTTAGGAAGACATGCAGTGCTGAAAACGCCGGGTGGGCTCACTCCAATCCTTCTCACACTGTTCGGACTGATTGCGACGATATCATCTGTATTCCAGGTGATTCCTGCGCCAAACGAG